GTTTGTAAATCTGATTTAAAAAGTAGGCTGTTCTGAAACTAATAAACACAGTTTCCCATGTTGGATGAGACAGCAAACTATGTTTAAGTAGAAACTTTCCAGTTTATTAGGGGCTACCGTAAATGTATGGTATGGATGAGTGTGTGTGTGTATATATATATATTAGGGTTGGGCGGTTTCGTTCGTTAATTTCGTAATTCGTTATTAATTCGTATTTAAATTAGCTTACGATCCGATATTGAGTCATGCAGGAGTAATTAAAAATCGAAACGAAATTTTTCAATTTATTTCGTAATTGTTTCGTAATTGTTTCGTAATTGTTTCGTAATTATTTCCGTATGTCTGGTGCAAGTTTTATAGTTGTTGTTTGTTTTATCAGTGATAAAAAATAAATTATCATACCAACAGTCAACAACAGAGGGAGAGGGAAGCTTCAGAAGTCCCCCTGTCCCATTTGGAGGGTTTTTTAGCATATTGCGCAATCGCGTCCGCCATTAACGAATCGATTCGTAATTGTTTTGAAATCGTTTCGTAAAATTTCATATATTTCGAAATTTCGTATATTTCGAACTTTTTTAAAGGAAAATTTCGGAATTCTTTTAAAAAACGAAACGCAAAAACCACCTAAAAACTAATCGAGTTTAGAAACAAATTTTTCCGTGGTTACCCAGCCATAATATATATCTGTGTGTGTGTGTGCATATGTGTGTATGTGTGTACAAATATATGGGGCTAAATCTGAACATAAAGATAAGAGGCACAATTTTTGTATAAATCTAAGGAGGAAAAGAAGGGCAGATACCAAAATAAATTTACAGAAGCATCTAAAGCAGAGGTTCTCAACCTGGGGTCCTCAGATGTTTTGGCCTTCAACTCCCAGAATTCCTAACAGCTGGTAAATTGACTGGGATTTCTGGGACTTGTAGGCCAAAAACATCTGGGGACCCCAGATTGAGAACCACTGATCTAAAGTTTCATATACTACAATAGAAATAGAACTAACAAAACCCTGTTTAATCAACTTTGTGGTTGCCACCTCTATAGCTACTCCTTTCCCTGTCCAGTTTATCTTAACAGTGTGTTTATACAGAGAGCAAAGAGGTAGCAGCACCCAAAGAACTAAGTATATGTATGTCCAATTAACCTTTCAATTGATTATTCATAGCTTCAGTGGTTTAGGATTTGATACACGTCATAGAAGATGCATACTTTAAAAAAAAGTTCTCACTTTCAAAGTCAAGGAAAAAATTTGGTCCCTGCTCCAGGTCTGTGCACGTCAAAACTTTAAGAAGGTTCCCCATGTTAAGGTACCTGTTGAGAGAAGAAAGAAGGATGACATACACTTTAAAAAGGGGAAGCATGCAGGTTTCCTGGTATTCTTGCAGGTGTCAACTTCTGGGTTTATTCATTTAACTGGGCATTATATTCCAAGTGTTGCTAACATACAGATGAACAATGTGCATTACATACAAAAGATGGAAGAATTTCCTTCATAAAACATCAAGAATAAAAAAAATACACAGCATTGTTCTCTAAATGCAATCCTACGTGATTTGTCCCTCGTTCATGCTTCTGTTTTGCTCGTAATTTACATTTCCAAAGTTCAGTCCAGTAGCAGACAGATTTATTTCCACTTCCTTTCTTGGTTTCACTTCAGAATATATGTGCTGGAAATGACACCCGATAGGTTTTTCTTCTTCATTTTAATGGATTCCAAGCCACATAGGTATATTGGTGGGGAACATGTTGGCCTCTAGATGTCATTAGATCTTAACTCCCATAGTCTCTGGTCACTGGCCATACTGGCTACCACTGAATGGAGTTAAAATGCAACAACATTTTGGAGCTCAAAGGTTCCCATCCCTGGTCAGTATCAACTCAGGCAGATATCCTGTATACCTAAAAAGTAGTTCTCCTTCCGCCCCTTGCAAACATTTCTCATTTTTTACTCTCGTGTGGCTATTTGTTCCAGTAGGCCACAACTTTCTCCTAGTTCGACATTTGTTGTATTTGCGGAAATGTCTATCCTTGACTATTTATAGTTTCTTATGGCTAATACAAGGGAAGAAGATACATGCTTTTTAAACCAAAATGAAAATGCAATACCATCAGCCCTCCATAACTGCAGATTTCACTTTTGTGGATTTGATTATTCACAAATTTGATTAGTATATTCTCTGTTGTCATCAGCAGTTCCTCCAGCACAACTCTATGGTCAACTTCCAACAGATGTTAACTATAGTGTAGTACTGCATGGCCTGGAGATTCCTACAGAAAATACTTTTCTAGCCATTTATAGGTACTCCAGAACCATTATACTGGAAGTTGACTTGAAGAGTCACACTGGGGGATCCAGAGATTCCTCAAAAGATATTCTCTCTAGTAAGGAAAATGTTTTAAATATTTTTCCACTTTCATGTGCCCTTAACTCCAGCAATAAGGACAAATGACTGTAAACACAAACCATATGCCACCATCAACAATCTCAATTTTGCAGCACATGAGAATGGGCTGATTTGCAAAGCTTCTGGTGAACCATACAACCTGGTAGCATATAATCTGAACAGTCAACCTTTATCTAACCTATGCCTTATCCGAAGGCAAGTGGAAACCTGCATGACTGAATGCTGATAAAAAAAAGGCATTGTGTAGAATTCTAACTGTTAAAGAGAAAAGCATTTCATATTTTTCTGAGAAAAATGGAATAAAATACAGTCTTCTGTGCTATCTATTCTTTAACCAGTTTGTACGTTTCACCACTAAAATTGATTTATTTCAACTGCACAATGTACCGCATTTATTTTTTATGGCATGTTGTGTTGGTAAAGGGCTCTGGAACCATGAAGATGGATGACACCACAGAAATGTCTCATTTTGGTTTAAAGAATCTCAAGTGCTGACAATTTAACAAGATGTCAAGTCTGTGCTCGGAGGTATTATGTGGGAAAGAATGATATTCTTCGAAAGCCCAGCAACTGTAGAGTGAGCTACATGTAAAATCTTCTGTTCAAAGAGCATTTACTCATGTGTGAGGGATGAACAACTTGGCCTTCCAGAAACCAAGGGAGGCTGTTTTCCTTTAGGCTTTCACAGCGAAAGCCTTGAGCAGAGAAGGCCCTGCAACGGAAAGAGGAAATTGCAATGGCAAAGCATATTTATGTTCTGAAATAGACCACATCTCTGAATCTTCCCCATGTCTGTAACCTCATAAAAACAGAAACAGAATCCACTTTTTTAAAAGACACCACACTTATCACTTTCATCCAACTGAAAGTAAAATTAGATTAACTCTAATGGGCTAATTTAAGAAATCTCCTTTGGAGTAGAGAAAGGTGGGATACAAATATAGTAAATAAATAAATAATACATAAACTCAATTTTATGAATTGGGGTCAAAGTACCCTAAAGCAGTGGTTCTTAACCTGTGAGTCCCCAGGTATTTTGGACTACAACTCCCAGAAATTCCAGTTTACCAGCTGTTAGGATTTCTGGGAGTTGAAGGCCAAAACATCTGGGGACCCACAGGGTGAGAACCACTGCCCTAAAGGCTGATCTCATTTGAACTAGGGAGCTAATTATGATTCTTGCCTAAGAAAACTCTGTAAAATTCAACAGGTCATCATCTGTTGACAAGTGACTTCAAGGCATACGCACACTTTCTGAAAAAGTTTTCTGCCACCAGTTCCGAATGGAAGCAAAACATAGATTGATTTTTGTGTAAGAGAAATCTCATCATTTTTCACCACGCTTCTGAATGACTCTGCTCAAATTCAAACACATGCTAACATCTCAAACAGACATGCTAACATCTCAAACACAAAGCAAATGCAATTTTACTGTATCATTAAAAGTTCTGATTAAAACTCAAACTTGAGATGATGAGGAGGAAGAGGATGATGATAAGGATAATAATAATGTTGTTGCTACTGTTCTCATTCGCAGCAATAATATTATTCTTATTATCAAAAGTTATTATGTCAACCGATCAGATTTACATAAATGCACTGCTCACAGCTATGGATGTTAGTCTTATTGGCACTACTCCCCAGATCTTGCAAATTACCTTCCCACTTCGAGGGAATTATGGTTAAGCAGTAGGAAAATCCGCCCTCTGTATTTACAAATTATCCATCCATGGACTTCATAAAAAATTCCAAAATATAGCCTTTGATTTTGCCATAAGGGACACCATTTTACTGTAATGGCATTTTAACGTTTTGATAATCCATGGGTGGAACAAAGTCCAGCAGATACCAAAGGCCCGTTGTAAGCCTTGACTGCATTTCTGAATATCCAATGCAAGTTTCCAAAACAAAAAATACAGAATAGTTGTGTGCATAATCAGGGAAAACCTTAATTTGTTTAGTGTCCTGGCCTTTGGTGGGCCCTCAGATCTGAGCCTTCTGGAATATTTGTTTTTGGGTGCCGAATTTTTTTTATTTTGGCCCATTATTGGGGGGAGGCTTCCTACCCAGGCTCCCCTTCCCAGCATGTGATCACCTTCTTCTGGGGAGTAGAAGGGCTCCCTGGCTGGGGCTGAAGACCCATCATGTTTGCTGCTGGTGGCCTTGCTCTGCAACCCAAAGCATAGGTCCAAAGTGCCCGGGCCTGCAGCCGAGTAAGGAGCATTGCTTACTCAGCACTTGGCTGCAGGTCAGGGCACTTTGGGCCTACGCGCCCAAGCCTGCCAGGGCCTGCAGCCGAGCACCAAGTAAGCAGCACTCCTTACTCAGTGCTTGGCTGTAGGTTCTGCCAGGTCCAGGCACTTTGGGCCTACGAGTACGACAATTGATCCAAAAAGCAGGCTTGGAGCTTGTACGCACTTCCGCCTGCCTTTTGTATTGAGTTTATTTTCGTTCTAGGAGAGGCCTTCTCATTCTGTGCCAATGGAATAGATGGAACAAAATGAAAACATGAATGACACAGATACCGGGCCCATGACCTATACAGAATCAATTCAAGGCTTGTAAGAATCAAATGCCCCAGACTTACGAAAGAGGTTGATAAAACTGTATTCATAAAGTTGTCCTAACTGTTAAGGTATGAAAAAAGAAGCCCCAATCTGGTGAAATCGGTTTTGGACTACGATACCTATAACTATCAACCATGTTGTGTGGAGCCAATGGAACTTGTAGTATGAAACAGTTATTGGGCACCAGGTGGAGGACACCTGCACTTGCTCAAACTAAAAGGAGTCAATTTGTTTGGTCATTATACAGACACAAAGCAAACAACCAGAGGAACAACATGCTGGTCTGTACAAGTCATTGTATGTTCATTTTTTGTTGTCACTGGAGGGAGCAGTCATACTGAATAGCCAAAGAGATGTTCTTTCAGATCTCGTCAAACTGAATGGTTCTTTGTTGACATTCAATAATAGCAGGCAAAATTACATGAATGTCTCATTTCACAACTGACAAGTTTTCCTCAATAACTTAAAAGAAACATTCTTGAGGTTTATATTATTCTAGCTTACTTATTTTTCATTGATTGAGCTAAATCTATGCAATTCAATCCTTTGCTTTTGTCTGCATGTTTACTGTCATTATTAGACTTCATTTGATACAGGAATTACAGGCAGAACGCCTACAGCCATGTGAAGTCACACCATTAGTCAAACCAGATTATTACACTAAAGATCCCTTCTGGGGCCTAAAATGAATATGTCAAATTTAGACGCATTTTGCCAGCTTCAGTTTCTAATTATTGTTCTAAAGACTCCTGACTTTTCTTGTTCTGCGTCTGATAATCCCCTTTCAGCAGTTTTTAAGACATCAGCAAATAGCTTTCTCAGGCCTGCGAAACAGGTTGTGGGAATCGCTAAGAACCACGGTTTCTAACTTGACCTACTTTCAATAGAATAAGACATACGGAACGCCACATCTGATTACAATGATGCGGTCCATTACAGCCTTATGGGGTTGTCTGATGCAAAGCGCCATGTCAAAATCAGACAGGCGGAAAGCCCAGGCATATTTTCAAAACAAGACTTGCACGCATGGCCTTTACGATAAAAACATCCGACACATTTCAGTTTGGGCTCAAGCCAGAAAAAAATGCAACAGAATTAACAGAACGTAATACTGGCTCTGAAGGAGCAGAGATAACTCCCCTTAAGCATAGGAGCATATTAATAACAATTTTATTCCCAGCAGATGAACAAGACACAAACTCACTGGTCTTGAAAACGAAAAACAGAGAAACACCCTAGAATCGACAAGTAGTAGTAGTATCAGCAGTAGTACATGTTATTTCTATTTCACCTATGCTTCTGGTCATAAAATTTAAGTACTACATGCAAAGAGTCTATCTAGAACAGCCTTTCTCAC